CACTCTTGCCGTTTGCTTCCTGAAATAGACGTTGATGCAAGGGCATGGGCTGGAGGAAGACGTCAATGTTGGCACCTCTCTTCTTGACATGTACTGCAAGTGTGGTGCCATTGCTTCTGACGAAGGTGGCCGCGATGATTGAGGAGGTAGAGGGGATGCTCGGCATGCCAATGGAGCATCTCTGACGCGCTCCTTGAGCTGGATTATGGTCTGCACAGAGACATCCACTCCAAGCTCAAGATGCTCTTCAGCTACTTCGACAACCTCCCTCTAGTGTAAAGGATGCCATTTCTGATTTTATCCGTTCCGATCTTTATGGTACTTCCAACACTTGTGTTCTTGGATTTTTTGGATGAAACAACATGGTACCGCAAGTGATGTGGGTGTTTGATGAGTTAGTGGGGCTTCTCATTTGCCAAGCCTAAGTAACAGGCCATTAGTGTGATGTACTAAACAATTTATGGTAGTGGATAGTTCACTCTGGATTACTCCGATTTATCCATTGTCGAACTCATCCTTTCAAAGTACAATTAGTAGAAGTTTATCTCTGTTTTTCCTCTATCGCTGAACTTTATTTTCTAGCTACTTTTTTCTTTGTCTTGACTTAGGATCCTTGTGATGCATTCAAAGATAGTCCATCAGTGAGATGATATTTAGCCAAAACATGTATGAGACAAAGAGTAGGGTTGAGAAGCTTGAGAAATTGTATGCAAACATGGCCTTGCAAAAAGAACCGAAGGTGCGCTTTGCCACTTTCTATGGCAAATTGAAATATTTTTTTCTTGGGTGAAGTCTATAGTATTTTTTGTTACTGAACCATATATGTTATGTTTATTGTGAAAATAATATAACCAGTTCACATTTTGTGAGTAACCAAAATCTCAAGAAATCTAAGTTTGTAATCTTTATATGAACTGGTTAGACTGTTATGAAACGACTTAGGCCTGGGCGTTCGGTAGAAACCGAAATTTCGGTTTCTGTTGTTCGGTTTTTTCCTAAGTTCGGTTAGTGAAATTAGAAACCGAAATTTACATGCAAAGCCAGCTAACTGAAAAATCGGTTAACCGATTATTCGGTTCGGTTTTCGGTTTAAACCGAATTTGGGCACTACGCCTTCGTTCCTCTCTGCGTGCAGCCATGGATGCGCTCTCCTCCTCTGGTCCTCTCCTTTGCGAGCGGCGATGGAGCGACGACGCGTGGACGGACGAATGCGTGCTCCTCCGCTGATGCGGTGGTCGGAGATGGGGGAGATGTGAGGAGTGCAGCCAAGATGCAGCGGTCGGAGATGGGGAAGATGACAGGCGCCAGCGGCGGGAGTGCAGGAGTGGGATTGCGAGGTGGGTGTCCTTGACAGCCGGCATCAGGGGTGGGGAGAAGAGAAGTTGCGGTGCGCCGGTGGCAGGTCAAGTGAGAATGGCAGCGGCGACGGCTGAGTCTTGCGTCAGGGGTGTGGGAGAAGATGCGTGCGGGCGTGGGTGGGTCCATAGTGGGATCGTGACCCCGTGACCCTTTTTTTGTGCGTTCAGACGTGGGTCATGGCCTCGTGGGAGTGTCACTGTGTGAGTTTTTTAGGGGCTCCGCTCGTGCATGGCCTAATGGCCAGCCTCTTGGCGTTTGTGTCATTGGGCCGGGGAAGCTTGTAGTATGGGCTGGGCTGAGTTCGGTTACTCGGTTAACCGAGTAAAATACTGAAACCGACCGAATTTGGTTCGGTTAGTAGCTTAGCAAACCGAATTTTTTTGTCTTTATTGTAAAAACCGAAAATTTTGTTTATTCGGTGTCGGTTTCGGTTCAGTTTTCGGTTGCTCGGTTTTTATGCCCAGCCCTATGAAACGTTGCCCAAGAGTGTGACTATATATGCTTTTCAGATGCTGTGGTTGACAGGAACTGGTTCTCTTCTACAGCCGCAGTGTAGAAAGATGGAACCCAGGAACCCCATGCCGACAGGAGTTATGTCTTCCCCACATCAAAATCCTTTTGGTCACTGTTAGTTGTGTGAGAAGTGTTTCAGATCCTGTCAGTTAGTTCCAGGAGCATGATTGTTTCTAACTCATGGACTGTAAATTGTGGGACTATTGTTTATTTTTGTGACTTAGTAGTATACAATTGGAATGTGAGTCTAGATCAGGGAGTTACTGCCTTGATTTCCTAGGACCGGAGAATTCAGACTGCCTTTTTTTCTTATCTGCAGGTGAAGAAGTCCGGCAAGAATGAGAAGGCCAACATGTCAGAGTTCACGGCGCAGTCGGACTCCATTGGGTTTAAGATAGTTGAGGTCACTGTGGATGGCAACTGCTTCCTCAGATTTTGTTCAAATACTCATCATCTTGACAAAATAGTGGGATTTTGTGGCTTTCTATGCTGTCTTTTAGGTCATATATGACTAATCATTGTAGTCACTGGGGCAATGGATGACCAGCTGGAGGGCGACAAGGAATGACAAATGAAGTACTGGGAGATGGTCGTGCAGTACATCATGGTATGCAGTGAAACCCCTTTTTTGTGTAGCAAGTTACTCGCGAATTGTAAATCCCAGTTAGGATTTCATCGAGCATATGTTTGACTAATTAGGTGTGTTGCGAATTGTTGATGGTGCAGGTTGCCCATGGGCTATGGCGCTTGCTAATAATCCTTGCCGTGTGCAAGTTGCAGAAACACTGCAAGGAGTTTGAGCCATTCATCGAGAATGAGATGTTATTGAATACTGTGACCGATGAAGAATGGAGTTGCATCAGGCTTCTCTTGTCACGAGAAGAAACGTTTGCATTCACATGGTAATTTTCTGTACAACGATTTCCTTTCTGTACTAGAGGCAGGGTGCCAAGCCTGCTTGCTCCCGGTACATTGTGACATGAAGCGCCGTGAGGAGGGAGGTGCTGAATACAGCTCGTTGACGAACACCAACCGCGGCTGCGCCACTATCGGGTGCTAGATCTTCCACAAGCAGGACCACAATTGCCGTTGCAGTATGCTGCTGCCAAGCCAGGCATACCAGCCCCTGTTACTGCTGACAAGCGGGCG